ACAGTTAATAGCAGGAGAAGCAGCGTCACTGTCAGTGCTATTCACTTTGCAAAAAGAGGCCTTGGATCTCAGACACAGTGGGTGTGGATGAGATGGAAGAGGGAGAGAGAAAGAGAGGGGACTTGAGGGGGGCAAGCAGGAGGCAGAGAACAGATGACTAGGCGTGAGTGGTACAAGTTAATAGCAGGGCTCATCTTCCCCAAGTACTTACTATTATTAGCACACTATACTAAGTTATTTGTAGATATTACCTCAATATCCATCCAATTATCCAATGACATCATTACGATTACTGCCCCTTTGTACATAGGCGGCGGCTAAGTTACCAAGGCACCATGGTAGGGTGCTTAGCAAGGGCGTTGGAATGCCTGATTCCCACCCAGCCTGGGTCTCCAGCTCTGGCTGTAACACTGCTTGCTGATATGAGGAGACCCCATCAGAAGGCTGTGTCCCGGCTGCGAGCCACAGAGTCCAACTCGACTCCCTCCACTGCTCCCCGCTTCTCCCCAAACCAGCTGTTCATTAAAATTTAAAATGCCAAAGAGCCTTTTGCTGACTTAAAGCATCTTATAACCATCAACACATGGGAGAGCAGAGGAAGCTTTTACGTCTGCTTTTAATAAAATATATTTTTCTCATCAAAATATTTTGATAGTGTGGGGAAAGAGTGTGCTCATTAAAGTTTAATGGATGTTTCTCTCTTCCATTTTTCCACATGAGGATCACGCCATGACTCATGCGTGGTGGGTGACAGGAATAGTCCACTGGGAGCACAGTTTTTCCTTAACCCCATCTTTACGGCTGTGAGGACAAAGGAAAGCCAAGATGGGGCCCACACGAATGCAGGAACGTGAAGTCAGTGGACTGCGTTCTGCGGTTGATGAGAATTTAGACTCAGGCCATGGGCCTGCTGCTGCTGCTCCATGTTGGCCTAGATTTGCTCCTCCAATCTGGAAACAAAGCTGGAAACCCCAGGCCCCAGGTTGAGCGTGGGATTCCCAGAGGAAGACAGTACTTTGGGTGAAAGCTTTGGGGGAGGGCAGAGTGGGTAACAATGTGGCATTCATGGTCTGCAGACTCCACTCATGCCACAAGCAAAGCAGACTGCAGTGCTCCCATCCAAGCATGTTAGGCTCTCCTCTAAATGACTCCATGCTACCCCTCTCCAGCCAGCTCCACTCATCCCCAACTTGCCTGGACCCACTCCAGCTAAGTAGGCTTCTGACTGCTCTCTACCCCTCTTCTCTCACGTTCTTCCCCCTTCTTATCTTTGTGCACCTTTGCTAGTAGAATGTTGTTCATTCATTCAGGATCACCTGTCACTGCCCAGCCCTAACTCCCCTTGCTCCACAACCCCCACTCAGGCTCCTGTGATCTCTCCTGAAGTGATCACCAGCTCTGTGCCAGTGTGAGGGTAACAAAGACTCATGTCTAGCTGCACGGACTTTCAGGTCAGAAAATTCTGGATTAAAGAAGCTTAGCTTTCATCCCTAATCAGGTGTGTGAACGTGGGAAAGTGGCACTTGGATGAAGGTGAGAGTAGCAATAGCCAATGCTTCCTGGGTGCTCTGTGACTCAGGCACTACCCATTAAATACTCAAGCACCCTAGGAACCAGTGGCACCATGATCTTACAGGGGAGGAAACCCCACGAGAGGCTCAGGGGCTTGTCCAGGGTTGCACAATCAGTACACTGAGAGAATAAGTTTTGAACTTAGATAAGTTGGTTACAGTGTTCATGTTTTAATCACTACACACTGAAGAACTGGGTCTCTCCATTTTTCCACTTGACAAATGGGATTACAGTAATACCCACCTCAGAGTGTGATAATGGGGATCAACTAAGGTAGTGTGTGAACTTCACGGTACCATGCACCACAATGAACATGTCTTCCTGCCACTTTTCCATCAATGTTTTGAAGTACCTTGGCCCAGCAGCGATGGGTGTTGTTTCTGTGCTGACCATGTCCCTTCTGTGGCCTGCTCACTGTCAGGGTCCCGTGCCCCTCATCTCTTGCCTTCTGTCTTGTTTTTCTTGTGTCTGTCAGATTCAGCCATAGTATCCTTGAGAGTTATAGTCAGCTGTGAGACCATTCCAGGATCAGAGACATGGAGGAAAGATTCCTAAGATAATCGTGGGCCTCTGAACCATCAAGGGCTTTCATTTTTAGTGCTTTTAGCTCCTTCTCCAATTTTTGCTTTATGCAAGGCATCTGACTCATGTCCCTGAGGTCTCCTGTGCAACATTTCAACTGGAAATTATCTTACTCCGCACACTTCTCTCTGCTCACTTCCTCCTCCTTTCTGACTTCTTCCCCTGTAGCCTCCTTCCTCTCCCTGCATTATTTTCAGATTGCATCTGGACAGCTGTGCACATTCCAGGACACCAGGCCACTGGTCAGAGTTTCCTGGAGGATCCTTTCCCAACTCAGTGACACCTGCTGGTCTGAGGGGTGGAGGGTGTTTTCCACAGAAACTCCTCCCTGGTTTGGATCTGGTTTATCCTTAGAGCTAACAGTTCAGGGACAGTTTCTGCGAAGGTGCTGCAGACCTCTTGCCTTTCAAAAACAAGCTCGGTACTGGACAGAGCCCAAATTTCCATTCACCGTCATGTTCAATCCCAGGCAAATGGCCCGGGATCTCTTTGTGGAAATCCAAATACAATGAAACAGCTCTGCAAAGCTCATCCTTCCCTGCCCACTTCCACTCACCCGCAGGAGAAGGTGGCTCTGATTCCACACCTAGGCAATTGAAGTAAACGCAGAAGACAGTCCTTCGAATGAATAAAGCCCCAAAGTTCAAAGCTAGCAATTTCCTCCGCACACGCCACACTTCTTATCAGTGGTGCGATTTAAGGCTGATTTTTTTGCTGTGGTTTGAGCACATCACAGCTTGGAGAGGCTCTCTGGAGACCTGGGCAGGGACAAGTCTTAGCTTCGTAATGAGGTGTGCACTGAGGTTGAGCTTCTGCTGGGAAGGGCTCAGGACTGAGTGGTACATGGATCCTGCTCCATGTCTCCACAAGCAGCTGCAAGAGGGGCTGTGTCTAGGGAGAGTCAGCAGGGACAGCGGCATTTACATGCAAGGCGTGGAGGGCAGGCACATCCAGGCCTTGGTGCCCTGTACCCCACGTGGCTGAATTCACGCTCTCATGCCCAAGGGAGTACCTAACGAGAAACCTTCATGCCTCCGTATCTGCATTTTCATGTTTCTGATTTAGCCTGCAAATTCTGTGCCTTTGCATTTTTATTCCAGCTCCTAACACCTCTTTGTGGACAGTGCTGTACTGAGCGATGACTGGGGTGGGATGGAAACAATGCTTTGGCCTGTCTAGGGAAGAAGGCCTGGTGTTCTCTGCCTCTGAGGGGCACTAAGTCTTGAAGGGTGGATGGAGGCCTTGTGGGGAGATCCTTGTGTCTTCTGTAGGACCAGATTCCATACTGGATTGCCCTGGTTAGAGGCCTCATTTGCTGGTTGTGTCATGTTGGGCCTCTTCATTCTCCAGTTTCCTCACATGGCAAAAAGAAGAGGCGAAAGGTTCTTGAGTGCTGGGATGGCAGCCATGCATGCCTCGTGTTTTGATAGCTGTCTGCAACCCAGTCAGGATCCGGGAAGGCTGTACTGTAGATGCCACACACCAGTTATTCATGCTGTAGATGATTCACAGTCGATGATTCACAAGAACCAAGGCCCCTGCCTCCCCCACTGCTTCTGGGGTGGGATGAAGCATGACTGACTTTAGAAAAACTTGGATGTGTCTAACTTTAGAGGAGTACAGCTTTGCAGGCTCTGTGCCCATCGCTTAGTCACTTCAAGAACATTCTGTGTAGGCTGGGGAGGGTCTCTGAGCACTGGGTAAGGTCTGCGGTGCGATGTCACTCTCCTGCCAGAGCTGTAAGGTTCCTGCGTCAAGGGTCAAGAAGGATCCCAGGGACGTGGCCAATGAGGCCAGCAGAAACCACAGCTCTGGCTCCAGTGCTCATTTTTCATTTGCATCTGCACTAGACTCTTCCTTGCCAAGTGGCCAGAGCCATCTGAGCAGAGGTTTGTGGTGGTAAATGGAGGGGTCCCATTGCAAGTACGGACTTAAAGCAAAGGCAAACCTGTGGTGATGGAAAACTTTTTCATGGCAGATGGGGAGATCAATTGGAAAAGGTTTGGGGAATCTTCCTTGGGTGTTAGGAGTTGTCTCTTTCTCAGGATAGATGTTCAATCTGTGGCTAAGGCACTGGCTAACATGTATCTTATATCAGATTCCTGCACTTAAAACTCCCGCTTTGCACTAATACAGACCCCGAGAAGCATGGTGATGGGCGAGTGATTGGTTTCCTATCACTGATTTGGGAAACTTGGATGTATCTGCTTATTCACAGCTTCACCCTGGGGCAGACATTTGGAAAATAAACCAGTAGGTGGGACCTCTTTTTTTTCCCTTTGTCTTTGTATCTCTTGGGATGTCTCCTTCTCAAATTAAAAAAAGCAAAGCAATCCTTGACTTCTTCATCTGGCTGGTGGTTGCAAGGAGCATACCTATACGAAAAGTCATCATCATTAAGCTATCCCTTGTGCATTCCAGTGTACACGACTGTGCCCTAGGAACAGATTCCTGCCTAAGATGCAGGCGAGAGGCAGCCACTGCTGGCACACCACGTATCTTGTGGCACGCCTGACCTACTTTATTCTGGAGACACTCAAAGTTCTAAGTCTGGATGCATTACACATCTTTATCTTCCTCCACAAGTGTGTTTATACCCACAGGTTATATTTGTATCTGCAGCCACATCTATATATTTAAATCTGGGAGAGAAGAGGAAAGTGTTATCTGTGCATGTCTATAAATAGGGCAGTTTGCTTCTTTCAAAGAACAAGAGGATCCTGACTGCGTTATTTTAGTTGTTTTTGGAGGAGGGTGAGGGGTGCAGCACATACTCTCCCCTCACACATCAAGCCCAGGTGCCTCATCAAGACCCTGTCCTTTCCCTCGTTGCAGATGAGACTGACCTTGATGACGACCTTGGGGATCGTGAGCATAACGGATCTCTGGTCGGCCAGCACATCCTTGGTCTCATTGACACGAGCTGTGACGAAGAAGTGCAGGGACGCCTGCTCCAGCAGCTGGCCCATGTATTCGCCGGCTCTGACCAACACTTCCTCGGTTTTGACTGGCCGGAAGAACAGCAAACAGACCAGGCATCAAGACCTGAGATGAAGTCGGCTTCCCCTCTCCCCATTTCCCCTCTCTCTCTGACCTCCCCCAGCACTCTTGCTGTATTGGCACAGCGACCACCAGGAGGCAAAGGTGAGGAGTCAACTGGGGATGGATGCTGCTATTTCTCAGGTAGAGGAAGAACGTGGTGGACATTTCCTGGTCGCTGAAAGCTTGCCAGAGACACAGTGCGTTTGCTGCAGTGAACTAGAACATCACAGCAAAGATGTGCAAAGTGGAGCCTTGGCAGAGATACACCAAGGAAGGCCGACGGGGAGCAGTGACGTCCAAGGCCACCCTTTCATACGCTGGCCCCTGGGGGAGTAAGAACTCTCTCTCCCAGGTCACAGGCCATGATGGGCAAGCCTGTTCCCCCCAACACCTGGTCCTTGGGGTGCCCCATATTCCCTCCCCAGCTCCTTGTGAGCCTATCTGACATCATGCTTTCTCTGAGAGAGAAAGAAGCCATGGAAACTCCTTTCCATCCAAGGCCCAATCCCTGCTCCTACTCGCAGTTTACAGAAGAACTCGGAGTCAGTCACAGACTCTGTCAAGTCCCTGACGTCAGACCTGAGAGTGGGTCTGGGTCTCCTCCAGCTACCATCTCGGGTGAGGATGGGGTGTTCTGGCTTGTAGCTCAGGCACACTTTCTCTCTTCTTTCCATCTCCAGAGAGCAAAGGGTAGTTCTGCAGGTTGAGCAGGGGGCCACCTGGTTGACAGGTGCCTGTGCTGCTCTGTCAGCTGGCCGACCCAGCAGGCCAATGAGTGACTCATGCTCTGGTCACAGACTTCATACGCATTTAGAGAACTAACATCTTTGCTGTTCTGACCCCAGTTTTGCCAAAGGTTCATTCTTTCTGTAGGAACTATTGGAGGAAATGGCCTCCGTGGCTAACAGTTTAATTGCAGAAGGCAGTTTGTTTTTAGCCACAATGTTGAACAAAAGTCCCGTAAGAAGGATGACATGATCCCTGGGCAGCAGCAGGTACTCAAGACTCCCAGGGCTCCTAAGTGACAGCTGTTGCACAGGTGAGGATGCTCACGCCAACATCATTAGTGCAAGGGCACTCACACACCTGAGCTGCATGCAGACCAGGAGGCCATGCAGGACCTCTGCTTGAGCGTGACCGTGCAAGTGTCCTTGCTGATGCGTAGGTGCGGTGGCAGCCTCCAGTTCTCTGACTGAAGATCATTGGGTCCACATCACCATCATCTGGAGATGTCTAACCACCTGCCATGCTGGAGCTTGCCCAAGACTAATCAAATGAGTTTGGAGGTTGACTTTAAAGTGCAGCTGAGGTGGAAGAGCATCGCTCCAGCAGCCCGGGTCACCAACCCTGCCCAGTCAGCCCCACAAGAGATCCTGCTTCTCAGGTGAGCTCTGGCAGCTCCTCACAGGGTCTACAGTGCCACCATCACCTGGGAACTTATTAGCGATGACTGTTCTCAGACCCTATCTGATTCCTTGAGTCGGAGTCTGCATTTGAATGAGACCCCAGGTGACGTGTGTTCCAGTGAGGGATGCTCTGAGAGGCTTCTATGGAGAAGAGGTGGGGTTAAGACAGAGTGAAGTGGGCTTGCGATGGATTGAGTCCTGGAAATGTGGAAACCTTGGTCATTGCAGACTGGTGGAAGTTCCTGGGGGTCAACTGTCCTCCACAAAGGGATGGAGACCTTCTGGGCTGTCACCACAATGGTGGGAGGGGGTTGCTCCTGCGCTGTGTGGGCTGCTTGAATACCCTACAGTGCCCAGGACAGAACGCACAGCATGCAGAGCCAGCCTCAGTTGCCAGTGCTGCTGCTGAGTGGGAAGCCCCGCCCCGACAATGCAGGCTTGTTCGACTCCTGGGGCATCGCTTTTCCTTTGACAGCCATCTTTTCTCAGGCTGTGGCTCTGCTTGACCTCAGCTCCTGAGATCTACTCTGTCTTGATGAGATGTTCACACTGCCTTCCTTAGATCCGAGCCTGCCCTCTTCTCCTCCCGTGGCTCTCACAGTCCAGATGAATGAGGCTCTGTCTCCAGTGGAGACAGCCTCAGATGAGCAACTGTGCCCTGATTTCTGTGTCCCCAAATCTGGACAGATGGTGCAGCCACGTGGCAAATCTTATTTTGCCTCTGGCGGCTCCCTGGGATGGTAACAGCCAACATGAGCTTCCTCTGGCTGTTTCTAGCAGCCTGTGTGTGACTGCGAGGCTGCTTTAGGGCCGGTGGGCTGTGGCTGGCCATTTCTTACCCATTTCTCCATGTTGGCATCAGGACCAGCCTGCCCCCACCCTCGCTCCTTTCTTCCCAGAGGTAGAACATTCTCCAAATCGTAGCACTAAAGAAACTGGGCTGTGTTTCAAGCCCAAGAGAACAGTGCTCCTGAAATAGGACGTTATGTAAGTGCTGTGTTTTGCCACTGCACAAGAAATTGTTCTAGATAAAGTTTATTAAACGTGGCAAGAGAAGGAGGAATAGATTTTCACTCTGAGTGGTGGAGCTGGGCTGCTGCCAACATCATTTACGGTGTCTGGGGAAAGCCAGGGGAGACACAGGCTGGAGCTGCCTCAGCTCTTTTCCAAAAAGCAAAGAAAACTAAATATAGCCAAGTAGAAATGATAGCACCTTTGAAGGTACTGGGAGGCTTAAGTTATTCAAATCTCCCAAGCTGATTTGAGCCCACACATTGCCTTTCATCACCATTCTGGAAAGTATGCCTCCCATTCTACTTGCAAAACTTTCTTCACCACAGAGGCATCGAAGACTGCTTGATCAAGGTCTGGAGCGATGGTGTGACTGTCTGCAATATCTTGCAATGGATTTTCCATTTCAGCTAGCAGCTCCTTGCATGTAATTAATGCCACTCACCTGCAGGGCCCAGAAAGGAAGAGACTCCAGCTCTCTGTAGGTTATTCAGGACAAGCCCTGGGGTGGCAGGGTGGGTGGCACTGTGTCAAAGCCAGCCTGTGCTGAGGCTTGGTCAGCACTCCCCACATCAGTGACCAAGGAGGAGAATATGTCATGACAGTCCAGTGCACTTACATAAGCCCAGCACTTAACTGGAGAGAAAGGAGGCAAGTGAGAGGTAGAGTAAGGGCTGGTGTTGAAGTCCCTGTCCAGGGACTTGTGCTGGACTGCAGATACTAAGAGCATGAGTTAGGGAAGTCAGATTCATGTGGGGCCCTAACAGGCTCTCTTCCATTGCTTGGCCAGGATCTGGGTTCCCTTATTTGCTATGCCTTTTACGGCTGGCTATGACCTTAACCACCTCAACTCATTTTGGCTGTCTGAGTTTCCCAAGACAAAGGAAAATGACATCTCTGGAGAGCCCATCACTTGCAAAGCACTTTACCCACAGGACCTCATTTAGTTTCCTCCTCCACTCCCACCTGCAGACATACAGGTGAGCTCTGATGCAGGATGTGCTGGGTCTGACGAGCTCCCCCCCCCCCCCCCATGACCTGCACCAGCCTCAGCTGCAAACTCGCAACGGTGTCCTCTCCGGACTCTAGCCTACATGCCCTGTCCTCTCATTTCAGTGCAGCAGCCCTGAATCATGCCACACGTCAGCACGGTGCCTTCCAATGGTTTGCCAGCTCACTGCCAAGCAAAGCTGAAATCCTTCCTGTGCATGGCATGTACACACCACTTTCTCACTCGCTGCCCTTACTCCCCCTTGCTGCTCCTCAGACACATCAGACATGCTGTGACCCCAGGATCTTTGCATGCATTGTCTCATGGCTGGAATGCTTATCCTGCCCCTCTGTCAGGTCTCTGTTAAATGCCCCTCTATTGGAAGGATTTGCTCCAACATCACTGGTCTCCTTAAGTGGCCCCAGTCTTTCCCTTTCTCAATGACACATATAGCCCTATTATATATTCACTTGCTTGATGGCTTATTGTCTGATTCTCCCTTATAAGAGCAGAGACTTTGTGAGGGTGGGCATCGGTACATCCCCACAAAGCAGAGCTCTGCATTACAAGCACTAACCACAGAAGTGAGCCAATGATCCAGGTGTAGGCTGTGCTGTAACCTGTCTACAGAGGAGGAGTGGCGAGGGCTCTCATGGCTCAAGTGACTTCCCCAGGGATGCACAGCTCACAGGCGATGCAGTCAGACCTTACTCCCAGACAGATTTAATTACAAAGAGCAGGCTCTGTAACAGCCAATGTGTCTGTCTGTTCTGAACAGTCTCAGGGAGTGTCTCCTTTTCAAACAGAAGGAAAAAGTGTGGCACCTCTGCCTTCATAGCTGAGTTATTTCCTCTGCTGCCTTAACCTTGGGTCACCCACATGCAGACATGTCAGTCACCCCAGGGTTTCCTGCACACACGTGGTTTACCTGGGGGAGCCCGGGGGATAAGGTACACAGAGAAAGGATGGCTGCTTTATTAAAAACTTGCAAGAGCAGTTGGGCCATACCCCAACGCCAAAGTCAACCAACCAAGGACAAAGTGGCATTGCTCTTCTTGAGCCCTTTTGGGCGGCCAGGTATCTAAGTGCCTCTTCACCTCTCTCCTGACACTTGTTCTGCAAGGCACTTGGTTACAAGGTCCCCGGGCCAAATGACAAGCCTTGGTCTCCCAGTACTCTGAAAAGCCACTTTGTCTCACACCTCCTCACCCCAAGTTTTTCATGCAGCAGGTGGACGAGCTTAGATGAAGCCCTTTATGTTTATTCATTTCTGTGAGAGTTATCTCTCCTAGTCCTTAGGATAAAGATGAAAGTGCCATGGTGATCGTTCCATTTCTCACTACATTCCGGAGCTAGGAATGCTCGAATTCTTCAATTTGGGCAGGGTTCCTGGAAGTAGAATTTTTAGGAATAATTTTCCTTTTTTATGAGATTATATTTTGGAAGGGCATGTGGAGTGGGAGAGACACAGAGCCCAGAAATGCTTGAGAATCATTGAGTCGTGTGATTCGGGCATCCCGTGGGAGAGGAGGTCCATTAGTCCCCACCACCTCTCTGCTTGTTTATAAAATCATCATTTGCATCCCTGTGAAACCCCATCCCTCCTCATCACACACAAATCCTTTTCCTTTCTATTCAGTGCCAAATGACAGGCCAATGGAAATCCAATACCCAGAAATATTTGGGCCCTCTTCAACCTGCTCCATCCAACTCAGCATGCTCTGCCTGATAATCAGTTTCTTCTGGTTGACTCGCTTTGCTTGCGGTGTGGCCAACTGTCATGTCAACTGAATAGCAGTCCCTCCCCTAGGAAGTGAGATTGGGTGACATTTCCATCCTCAGTGCAAGCTGCAGCATGCCAATCCCAACCTGCTGAGTTTACAGAGGGACAAAAATGCTAGAAGGCACACCTGCATGCAGAAAGCAGAATGGCCGGAAGATGGGAGAGAGCCCCCATGAGAGATGCAGAGAGAGCAAAGCCGGGGGCAGGCCCCAGGATGGACTCTCCTGCTAGACTTCAGACAGATGAGCTTAAGGAAACAGCCCGCCTCTGTTTGTGTTACAGAGGGAAAGCAAAGGTATAAACAGGACTGCGGGAGTCCTGCTAGGATGCAGGTTCTCATTCTGGAGGGTTCGGCCTGACCTGAGAAGCTGCATTTCTGGCAAGGTCCCCAGGGGTTGATGATGCTACTGTGCATTAACTGCACTTGGAAGTAGCAGCAAGTCAGACGACCTTTACCTCCCAAGGCTCTGAGCTTGGCAAACCGTAGTGTCCACTTGTCTGCATGGACACTAAGGATCTCCCGCGAAAGGAGAGACTTTTCCTGTATGGCTAACCATCACTGAACTCTAGGGAAGCACTTGGACAGAACGCTACCGAATGTGAGAGAGCACTTGTGAACTTACAGGACCGAGGCTCCAGGACCACGCTGAAGGTCTCGTTCTTGAACACTGCTTTGGAGACACCAGTGTAGAAGACGATGTTGCCCGAGACGTAGGCTGAGATGGTGTAGTGGTTAGGACTGTTGTTCTGGAAGCTGATGGTGAGCTTGAAGTCTTTCCCCAGCACGGCATTTTCCACCTCGAAGTTCATACTCACGTCAGACTTTGATTTGATGGTGCTGTCTGTGCTGAGGGCTTTTTTGGCCCCGTACATCAGGGCAGTTTCTAAGGCCAGCCTCTCTTCCTCACGGCCTAGAAGAGAGACAGAGACCATGGCACGGGAAGCCAGCCCACCCAAGAGAAAGTCATCTTTATGAACACACTGTGTGCTACCCAAGGGCCTCTCAAAATGTTTGTGAAAACTGGGGTTCAAAGATAAGTTCAGGTGCCAAAGGCTTTGAAATCCACGCATAAGAGGGATTGAGAAAAGTCTGTAGAAATTGCATATCATGAGAAAACGATGCACAGATTTCTTTTTTTTTTTTTAATCCCAATTTCAAAGTCAGAGTTGGAGAGAGGAGATAGAGACAGGCTGACAGATCTTCCATCTGTTGGTTCCTCTTCCCAGTGCTTCAATGACGAAGGCTGGACCAGGTGAAGCCAGGACCAAGAGATGAGGAACTCTATCTGGGTCTCCCACATTAGTGGCAGGGCCCCAGCATTTGAGTCACCTTGCCCAGGGAGCTGGATTGGAAGCAGAACAAATGGGACTCGAGCCAACACACAAAAAGTTAGCCTTTTAAGAGAAGTAGCTTGTTTAGTATTTCCACAGAGATCGTATTGTAAATGAAGACAGGAGGGAAAGCGAAGGGGTAAGCTTTGAAGAAGAAAACAATCACTTCATGTTGACTTCTCTGTAATACTGGAATAGGTGTCAGTGGGGTTTTGCGGGGAGCTGGTGCCTGAAAAGCTGCAGAGCGTGAGTGGGGGACAGAGAGCAAGGAGTGAGGGGACAGTCCCCATTCTCTTCTCCATCCTTCTCGGTTGTGCGGGATAGGAAAGATGAACACAAATTGTTTGGCTTGTAAAAGCTGATCACGGGAATGGTTATGGGGTGAAAGTCACTCTGAAAGCCAGCCTGCTGCTCTTTTCTCATCACCACGCTGTTTAAGATGCTGTCTCCCTTTTTACCCAGTGGATAATTAAAGGCAATGGCAATCAAGAGGCAAATTCATGAAAAAAACGAGTATCGGCAAGTATTAACCACACACCAGGCATTGCTACACGTAACACAGGATCTATCGAATCCTCGAAGCTCCTCAAGGCACGCTCCATTGTTACCATCAGTGTCCTCGTTTGTAAACCAAGGGTGCGTATGTCCTGGAGAAGTGAGGTACGTGCGTGATAGATGGAAGCTGCTTGGCAAGGATGAAGATGTTGCTGGCAGGTGTTGCAAGTGGAAGTGTACTTGTGTGTGGGTGCGCGCACGCCTGCACGTGCATTTACAGTTTCTCTGTCAGAATCCCAGAATGTTCCAGAAACATTCAGCCTAGGGGGAGCACTGGGTGCAGTCCATACTGTAGACAGATATGACAAAAGGAAGGAGGTATGGGGAAGAGGAACTGTGACTTATTTCAGCAGAGATCATCTGACAAGCAGGTGCATGGGAAAGAGGGTATGGATGCTCATTACTTTGGATGGAGATTGAATAATGCAGGGAGGAAATCTGAGCTTCCTTCTGAGGAAGTGCTGGGTCCATCCGAACCATGCTCTGCCAGGCAGAGGCCAGCTGGCGCCGTTTGAGAAAGCGCTGGTCCAGGTAGGAGGAAAGGACTAAGTGTTCCCAGAGCCAGGCAGGGTAATTCCCTTGTCTGTACGCGTGCTCTGTGTTCTGGCATCTTGCATAATTCAGGGCCAAGGGCAACACTTCGGGGCCGCACGAGGACACAGAGGCAGCCTGTGCCTTCTGAGCTTCCTCTGCAGCGCCCAGCAGCAGCCTGTTGCGAAAGCAGCGTGAGAGTCTTCCTGGGTTGCAAGCAGCCCTCTTCCTCACTGTTCTGATCTTAGCTCCAATGTTACCCCTGCATCCCCACAACCCTTGCTTCTCCCATATCTGAGCAACATATTCCATGGCTTTCTTTCCTTTCCCTGATGTTGTATAACATTGTCTCCCTGCTGGAACATAAGCTGCACGTGAGTGGAGACAGGGTCAGTTTTATGCCCCGGCAGGCCCAGTTTCAACCTTGCCCAGAGGTGCTGAAGAAGCAGAGAGCTGTGCAGAGGCACTTCCAGCTGGAGCCAAAGCCCCCGTCTTTACAGCAATGCTTGAGAGTTTAGTTCAGGACCTTCTACATTCAAATCAGCCAAAGGGTCAGCTGGATGACGTTTCATTTGATCATTTCGTGCTAGTGGAGCTCATGCAATGTGTTTCCTTGAGGAGGCATGGGCTATGGTCCAGATGCAAGACAGATGTTGGTGTTTTCATGTAGGGGGGCATGACTAGGAGACCTTTGATCTGCCCAGGGACTGAGACTTTGTGGAAGAGGGCTTTCCCCTACTGAGAGGGAAGTCGGGGAAGCTAGTGACAGCTGGGCTTGTCAGGGGATCTGCCAGTGAGTGGTTCACCTGGCTACTGTGTGTGACACTTGTGGGTTATGGTCAAGAGGCACAGTGAGGGGGCTGGCATCTGAACACACAGCAGGCCTTGGGCATTGCCGCAGGATTGTACTGGCTGCATCAGGAAGAGACACGGGCTTGTAAGTGGAGTGTGATGTAACAGGCTCTGCGCTGTGCTTCAAGTGAGCTCATTTTGGCATCAAGGTAAGTGTCAGACTTGGAGTGGGGGTGGGGCAGGGAGTTGGGATGGTGGTGCCTTTCTAGAGAAGTAACCACAGTCTGACTAACAGGAAGGCTATGGCAGTGAGGCCAGAGCTGTTAACAGCAGTGCAGTGGAAACTGACTCTTCAGCGGCCACCCCTGGCAGTCAGGCTTGACACACCTGCTCCTGTTTGATTCTTGGAGAATGGTTGGTCATGGAGCTAGAATAGAGACTCACAGAAGGAACACCCAGCCGACTTGCTTCTTGACTAATTCTCATCCATGAGGGACGGCAAAGGAGAACCAGGTTTGTGAAAGAGGAAGAAGGGAGAGAAGGTGGAAATTGGGAGACTGTGCTTTCAGGTACTATGGAATATGTAGGTAAGTCTGGGTTGAGACCAAGACTTGCAGGTGGCAAGGCAGTGGTGGAGAAAGAGCACAGGGTCGGCTGGAATGGAGCCAGGGATTGAAGCCTGAGGTGACACACACGCTGAAGGACAGAATCATAGAATGAGATAGGTGAGGGGTGTGGCACCAGGACAAAGTTGTGCTGTAGAAATGGGAATGCTGGCTTTCAGCATAGGATGGTAGCAGGAAGCAGGGCACAGCCGGTGAGGAGAGGATGGGAAAGGAGCGTTGTGGGACACAAGCCCAAGCAGCTCTTTTAAAATGGCCGGCTGTGAAGTGGGCGCTTGGCACAGTGGTTAAGCCATGGCTTGGGATACCCGCAGTCCTGGCCCAAGTGCCTGGGTTTGAGTTCTGGCTCGGCTTTCAATTTCGGCTCACCCTGGGAAGCAGCAGGTGATGCTTTTAGGACTGGGATGCTTGCCAGCCACATGGGAAACCAGGAGTATGCCAGGCTTCGAAGTGCTTGCAGGCTTTGGGGGAGTGGGCTGGTGCATGGAGGATATTTTTGTCTCATTATTTTCCAAATAATCAAATAGGAATTTCAAATAAGAATAAAATGGATAAAAAGCCAGCAAATGATCGTGGAGGTGAGGAGGAAGACACCACAGGACATGTTGTGGAACTGGGTGTGTTGGGGAGCAATCCAACCGCTAAAATTTTACTTCCTCTTTTTTCATGCAGAAACTGCTTGAGCCTGCTTAAATGCTAACTGAAAGGAGATACAGAGGAGCGGTGAAAATACGAATGACAGAGGGAGTAATTGATGGAGGGTAGAGGGGACGAGCAGGAGACACAGTCACCGAAGGAGACATGGCGCCGTGGAGGCGTCTTCAGAATCCTAGTTCTCACAGCTTTATACTTTCCCAATGTTACATCTTGAGACAAAAACGTTTTAAAATTAATATGAAGTTCCAGTTACTTGAAGAGAAAAAAAATGATCTTTCTGCAATCTAACTAACTAAAATAGTTAATTCCTAAATCTAGTAAAAATTTTCTCTTTTGTATTCATTTCTCGTAGAGCCTACTTTCAGCATTTGTAGATCAAAGGCATTTTCTGAGAGTTCAATGTGAGAGTCGCAGCTGCCGGCCACTCATTGCTGATTCCTAGATGTCCATGGCAGACATCAGTAATCAATTATCTCTCCTAGTCTGTGCAGACATGGTCTCAGTGTGCGCCTCAAAAATAGCACTGCGTTTGATCATGTCCACAGCTAGAACTGAAAACACGCACACCACATATGGATTCAGAGGCTCCTGATCCACCTGGGTCAAACGCCAGCACGGCAGCTGGATGAGGTGTGTTTCACAATCATCGATGTGGATGTAATGGTTCTGGTGGGTCGGACCATCAGACCCGTCAGGACTCTGAGCTGTGCCTTGAAGTCTTCTGTGTGCAGAATCCGAGCATCTGTTCTAATCTGCTGGCTAAGCCAGCCTGCCCAAGGCTCTGACCCCTCTTTTGTGACCCAGTGTTTGATCTCTCCTCTGTTAGCATCTGGACCATTCCTGATGTGGTCTTCATCATTACAGCCCACGGCAGGTGCATGCACCTGCATGGTTGGGATGCCACATCTGGTCTCGGGGACAGCTCAGTTACTGCTGCTCCCACTTGCCTACGGGCTCACCCTTTGCCCATTCCTCGGCCTGAGCGGGAGTTCTTCTGGCGAAGGGGCACTCACGCAGCAGTCCCTGTGGTGCAGCCTTTTACTGGCATGACTCTCGCCCCCAGCTGCACCTGCCAATCCCTGTTGATCCTTTGCATTCTGTGTCAGCACTCTGGCATGCAGGAGGTGCTGATTCAATGTGTTGAACAAGTGGATGAATCACATTGCTCCATGGAGGGAGAGCAGTCAAACTACAGAAAATGAGCTGTTCCCACATCTCTGTCTGACACCAACGGCGCCCTGCGTTGAGCATGGGGCACGTCCAAAGGGTTCATGGAGAAAGAGAATCAGAAGTGGGTTTCTTCTGGTGCAAAAGAACTTTGGAATTCATCTACAGTTTCAAAAACAATACACACGTTCTGTGACATTTTTTGAAGGCTTCTCAGATCACTGCAGTGATATGACCAGGGTGCCAGGAGGGCCACGAGCCACTCGCTGGATCCCGAGTCTGCCCTGGGCATCCTTCTCTGAGCTCTGTAGCATCTGCCCAGCGGTGTTACGCAGCAAGGTGGTGCTTGCTACTGCCTTCCTCTGCAGTTGGAAGTGAAGGCAGGTTCCTGTGGGTCTCTAGTCCCACATGCAATTGATTAAGAATAAACTATTAAATGTATGAGTGAGTCAGTGTTGCCATTAATTCTTTTCCCTTCTTTGACTTTCCTTCTGCCCCACCCATACTGTTTTTTGCTCATTACTGCATGGGGGCACCTCAATAACTTCACTTTGAAATCAATGCAAGGTTTTTTTTCATACTACACACTTCAGTGAACTTTTGGAGATCTCTTCGAATGAATGGATTTCAAAGAAAAAGTGTTTTATGCCACAATAAACTTTCATTTCAGGTAAGGCCTAGCAATACTGGAATATGGACAGAGAGGCCAGGTAAAGGTAAATGTTTGCAGCTTTCTAACTGTGTCCAGGTTGTTCGCTGCACGTCTCTTAGGATAATTTATACTGCCAGGGAAGCTGAAACACACATCTTCAGCTTACTAGATGGACTTCAAGGTAATGACCATTTGTTCACATCACTGCACTTGGCTAGTAAAGACTCCTTAATACATCCTAGGCTTGTCTGGCGTGATCTCTCTCACACCCCACACAATACAACAAAATCACGTAATAATGAAAAAGTATAAACATGTAAATCAATACAAGAGGAGGAGACTCTAGTAACATTTTCCTTGGGGTCAATTTTTAAAATTTATTTTTGTTGGAAATGCAACTTTACAGAAAGATCTTCCATCCACTGGTTCACTCCCACAATGGTAGCAACGGCTAGAACTGGGCTGATCTGAAGCCAAGAGCCTGGTGTAGGGTGCCGAGTTCCAAGGAATCAAGTCACCCCCACTGCTTTCCCTAGGCTACAGGCAGGGAGCTGGATGGGAAGTGGAACAGCCGGGACATGAACATAAACTTTCTGAAGTACCCTCATAGCATGAGAAGGCACCACGTGTTTGTCTTGTTTTACTGTGCTTATATTGCTTTCAGTTTTCCTTTTAGGGAAAAGCCAAAAAGAAAAAAGCAATACATTGTGCAAAGAATGGTAACCAACAGAAGAGGAGAACGAGCCATTCAGAAATATCCTAAAAATCTACTTGCTCAGATGACAAAAATTCTGAATTTCTAACATTATGCATAAGCTTTGTCAATTTCGCAAGTTTTCTCTTTAGAGTGCAAATTGCTTTTGTAAATAAGGGCTGAGGAATTGTCTAAAACATTTCAAAAAAATTCTGTACTCCTTAGCATTTCAGGAATCCTGATGAATATTTAGGAGTATGTTAATTACATATCATTTTTATCCATTCACTAAAATAGATGTGTCTCCTCAGAGCCTCTAGTGGTGAAGCATTTGCAGAGTCTATTCCATGCTCATGAGCAAGACGCCTAAGGCCTCCTACCTGCTGCCCGCTGTTGTCACTGGACCTCTGCACTCAGTGGCAGGCCCTCAGCATACTGAGCTGTTCCACATCTCCCACCTCGGCCTCATCTCTGCTGCCGGAAGTCCCTGTTCAGCTTCCTTTAACTGATTCCTGCCCCTTGTCTGCCTGGACTTGATTTCCCGACTCACATGGCTGGAGTGAATGTCTCCCTTCTTTGTTTCCAAAGCCCCCTTTCCACAGTGATCTTGACACTCAATGCAAGGGGGGGGCATGAAACTGGGATGTGTTTACTGTTGCAATTCCCAGAACCAAACCCAATTGCAGGCCTGGTACACTTGGCACTGACTGGGCCTGGCTACAACGCTCCATGCCAGTCAGTGATACAAGCCACTTCTCATTATCTTACAATTGAAATTGTTCTTGAGTATCCATGGCCTGAATGAGTGACACTGCATTATTCTATTAATATTTTATTCTCAACATCATGGGGTTTCAATGGAATAATAATGGAAATAATTTGTAAGGGATTAAGTGTGACGTGGTTGCTTAAGTCTGTATTGTTGAACTACAATCGCATTACTCAGAGAGGGTTTTCTACGAAAGATTCTTGGGAGCAGTTGATATTCTACATTCTATTAAAATAGATATAAGACTTTAAATCAAGTCATTTGAGTCATGTGGAGGGGAATTCTTTTCCAAGCAAGCCAAACAAGCTAAACAATGTGCGTGAGAGATGTTTTTCACTCTGAGTGTTTGCCCTCCTGCTGTCACCACCAGTGTCGTGCCCAGAGTGGGCAACAGCGGTTAACGGACAGGGGCATTGCAGGAGGGGGCCTCTGGCCTGGCAGCTAAGACGTTCGCATCCCACACTGGAGACCCCGGGTTCTACGCTCAGCTCTGACTCACGACTCCTGCTTCCTGCCAATGCAGATCCTGAGCCACGATGACTGCAATAACAGGACTCCTGCTCCCTGAGTGGGAAACCTGGATTGATAGCCTGACTCCTGACTCCCGTCAGACCCGAGCATCCGGGCAATGAGGCAGGCTAGACAGATGAGAACTTTCAGTCTTTCTCTGTCTTTCTGCCTTTCAAATTATAACAAGAAAGTAAACTTCATCTGATCGTAGTACATTACCTTCTTGGAATTTGTAAGTGTCGGTAATATCACTGATGCCATCACCTCCTATCTGCTTGGTCACAATTAATCTTCCGATGTGTCTGGTATCCACAGCTTCGATCACGTGAGTGCCATCTTTCTTGGCTGTGATGTAAACGAGGTCACTGTTGACCTGCAAGTAGGGGCGAGAGCATAACCCATCATCAGAGGTCTTCATTCCCCGTGATGTCATCACTCAAGGATTCCTAGAATGCCGAGTTCCTTTCCCCAGTGCCACTGGATTCTTAAGCCCAAACTCACTTAAAAAGGATTTTTAAGGGAATCTATTTAGATTAGCCATCAATATTTTTAAAGACTCATTTGTTTTGAAAGACAGATTTTTACAGAGAGTGTAGAAGAGAGACAGAGAGGGCCTGGGATAGTAGCCTAGTGGCTAAAGTCCTCACCTTACATGCACCAGGATCTCATATAGGTACCAGTTCATATCCAGCTGCTCCATTTCCCTTCCAACTCCCTGCTTATGGTCTGGGAAAGCAGTGGAGGATGGCCCAAAGCCTTGGGACCCTGAACCCACGTGGGAGACTGGAAGAAGCTCCTAGCTCCTGGCTTAGAATTGGCAAACCTCTGGCCATTATGGCCACTGTGGGAGTGAATTAGTAGATGGAAGGTCTTTCCTTTTGCCTCTCCCTCTCTCTGTAAATCTGACTTTCTAATAAAAATGAATAAGTCTTAAAAAAGAGAGAGAGGGAGGGAGAGAGAAAGAGAGAGAACTTCCAGCCAATCTGAAGCCAGGAGCCAGAAGCTTCTTATAGGTTTCCCATGTGGGTTCAGGGGCCCGAGTATTTGAGTCATCTTCCACTGCTTTCCCAGCAGGGAATTGCATCAGAAATAGAACTGTCAGAACTTGAAGCAGTGTCTGTATGGACTGCTGGTGCTGCAGATAGAGAATTGGCTTGCTGCATGACAGTGCTGGCCCCCATCAATTCTAAATGAAGACTGCTTGGGGCTGGAACCATCAGATGCCCAAGAAACAATTGTTTCCATCTCCTCTTCTTCCCGATAAATACTGCTTCCTAAGGAGCGTCTGAAGGCACCAAGAGTTTCTTCTTGAATAAAAGGAGAGAGAAACGTGGGCAAGTGAGTCCATCCCTTCCCGTCTGCAGATGTTCTCCTGAGACGTGAAGTGTGGCTGCTCTGGGACAAGGAAGAGAAACCGTGGCGACCACGGGAAGGTGACAGGGTAAAAAGCTGGGGATTGTTGCAGGCTTGGAAGCTGCGGCTCGGAGACTAAGCCAGCCTCAGCACCACCTGCCTCAGGATTCCTTATACGAGAGAAGTCTACCTCCAGCTGTTTCAGTCATATGAGCTTTGTTACCTGCAGCCAGAAAAATTTAAATTGAGAAAGATTAGAGTATCTAGGAGGATTTTCTGATGGGTCAGCAACTAGAATGTGCTATTTGGGGGACAGGTGAATAACATCTGCCTGTCTGATCCCTTCGGCTCTCTGGAGATGATGTGCCTGGAAGCTGAGCCGCTTGCTACTTCTTACAACCACTTTCTTGGAGACCCCATTTATGAACTGCCACTCAGGGCGGGTCAGCAATGTGAACTGGCCCTCTAACAGCCGTGGATGTATTTATCGAACATTCCATGGCCCTCTCCAAAGTCTCGGTTCTGTTCTCTTTAAGTAATCATAGGACGAGTGGCAGAATGCATGCAAGGCACTTACCAGCATGGCAGAAAGCTAACGCTCCATAAATAAATGTTACTTATTATTATGTATTATGTCATTGTATTTTTGGATATTGCTCAGGGTGTTAAGGCTCAAAAAGAGATTTGGTTACCGTTCCCCATTTTAGGAGATGTGTGTGTGAATCAGAATCACCTGGGAAACTGAAAAAAAAAAAAAAGTCTGATGAAGCAGGTCCCAGGCAGAACTCCAAATCTGTGATATTTTAAAAGAGGTTTCAGATCATCCTAATGGACACACAGGCTGGAGAACTCCTACAGTGCCTAGGAGGAGAAGTGCAAGGCATTGTGGGAGGAGGGCAGCCAAGCTGAAGCGTGGAGGATGCACAGACTCAGTGCAGCAGGATGCAGAACTGGAAGAACATGTTAAGCAGAAGGACTGGCACGTCTCGGGCCGGAAGGATGTCTTGATGAGCAGGAGTCCCACCACACCTGAGTGGAACCTGGAATCCCAACATGGAAGTCGATGATGTCTTGCTGACGTCATGGCCTTGTGTCTTGGCCAGACATAGATACTTCCCATGCAGTGTCTGCCATCGTTCAGCGGCCGGGAGGCTGGCCAAAGGTGGGCCCTGCCAGCAAGCAAGAGAAGCCTTTCTGCAGACTCTTGCTTGTGCTCATGGAGCATGGACAGTGTCCACAGTGGCAGCAGCTGTGCTTGCACCTCGGAGGGTGATACGCTCTTGTGTTCCGCTCCAGCACAGAGCTTGCTGCCATTCTGCTGTTTGTTCCCAAGTAATGGCAATCCTGTCGGCATGCTCTGCAGAGAAGGTGCTGCTGCTCCAGGGACACACGTAGGCAGGACATGCCTGTCTGGGCCAAGATGTTTTCCTGGCACAGTGGTGCCATACCTACCCCTGCACTTGCCATTTCTTCAGCCGGTAGGTTCAGGCAATGCTGCCAGGCCCCTGAGTGGGCTCTCTGCTGCTCTCCACATGTGCCTAATCTCTGGCCAGGACTGCGAGCTCTTGAGGTGCTAACCCTGGCCCTTACTCTGAGATTTTATTCATAGCTCCATACTCCTGTGCCAGCTCTTGCTTATTCGATTTATTCATTTGCTTAACAAATATGAACACTCTTAAAAAATTTCATGGAAAATGTGTATTAGAAAATGGTTAGGCACAGATCTGAAAAGGCTTTGCAGCCAAGCAAACTTGGCTTGTAATTTTATTTTTTTCCAAACACCTGCTGTTTTGTTGATGGCTACTGCATGACAGACTCTGCTTTTACCAAAAAGGATGCAACTTCTCAGCTCTTCATTGAGCTTAAATTTCGGAAGAGAGAGAAAGAGTAAGCATGAGGTAGGATGGGGGATAGAAACAGTGATATTTGAGGTGTGTAGGGGTATGAATGGAGGTGTTTTAGAAGAGGTAACCTGAATAGATACTTGAATACAGTGAAGAAGCAGAAAATGCAAAATGTTCTTTCAGCATAGGAAGAGAGAGAGAAAGAGAGAGGGAGAGAGAGAGAGAAAGGGAGAGAGAGGGAGAGACAGAGACAGAGAGAAAGGGAGAAAGAGGGAGAGAGAGACAGAGAGAGACAGAGAGGGAGGGAGAGAGAGAAAGAGAGAGAGAGGGAGAGAGAGAGAAAGGGAGAGAGAGACAGAGAGAGACAGAGAGGGAGAGCGGTGTATAGTGGAAAGGGGTGTTTCCTGAATAAGGAGTAATGAGCATAAGATTTCTGAAAGGAGAGCACATGTGGGTGGTTTTAGGAGAGAAAGCGTCTCAGAAGGACTGGAGCAAATGAGCAGAACATCATAGCGAAGAAGACAGGAGGCAGCAATGAGAATGCTCTGAAAGGTGGCGAGCAGCGAGGGCATATTCAATTTGCATTTGAAAGGACAATTCTGGCTGATTTGTGGGGAACAGATCAGAAGATGTAGTCTGGAGCCCAATTGGGAGATGATTTCCTGGAGCTTGGTGCTATGTGTACGCAGAACACAGCAATGGAGACTGGGGAAGGGGTTGGACTCCATGGCAGGATGTGCCTTGATGGTTAAGTGGAGAAGTCAAAACATGTGCCAAGTTTTATGCAGCCTTTAACTGATGATTGAGCTATTTTAGATCTGACTAGGAAATGACAATGAATGGGTTGCATCTGATAAGCAGTAGCAACATGAACATGCTTGGGTTCAGAATGAAGGCTCCACAGAGGTTTACATATGCTGCATTCTCAGAGTGATAGCCGGGAACTGGAATGGCTGTTTCTGGGACGCTGGTGTGGTCAATATGGGCTTGAGGCACCAGTCACTGCCACCACAAAACCTATCTGTTATAGAGGGCCACGAGTCAGTGCGCATGCGTGTGAGGAGCAGGTGCACATATCTAAGAGGAGTTTGAAAACTACGAGGAAAATGGGCGTCATGAAAAAACTGCGTGGATTTCTTTTTTTTTTTTTTTTGGCACCAAAATCAACGTAGTTCACTCCTACTCTCCCATGAACTGCTGGAAGTCTCCTGTTACCTGTGTGACTTTGAAGTGGATGGCATGAAGGGGCCAACAGGGCCAACAGGCCCCTCAGACCACTGGGCAGAAGGGAACCGTCTCCTCCAAGAACAGAGCTCTCCATCAAGCACCCTTGCACGTGGGTCATGGAACTGGGAGCTGACCCAGTGACTTAGAGTCACCTTGCTCTCTCCTCATCTCTTTACAAGCCCCAGGCTACACTAGGTCAGGTAGACAGGAGGTAGGTGAACGTTCAGACCTAGAGGAAGCCTGGACAGTGACGAGAATGGAAGGGGCTCCCCTTCCTGCCAGGCATGTGAAGGGTTAAGTTTCCCAGAGGGGGCAGCAGAAGGTAAAACCCTTCCCAGGATCCTTTACACATGTTTGATTTTGATTTAAGGAGACCAAGGCCTCAGGAAATCTCTTTTTTTTTTTTTCAAGCAATGAATGTGATGCTTGATCTGGCTTGGAAGTGAGTAAGGAATGACTGCGGAACTGGGGAGGTGCGAGGCAGCTGATGTACCCAGGCGGAGGGACAGGACAGGAATCACGGCCTCAGGCCCGAGTCACCGTGGGCGCTCCTCTCTGCATGCTGGAGGCACGATGCCTCCTACATTTTTCTCCAGTGGGTCAGTCAGGGCTCAGCCCTAGCTCAGCCTAGCCCAGGCAGCAAGCTGTGGTCCACGATCTGCAAAACCCATCAGCTGTTGCCACGCTGGGTCTGTACTTTGCAGTATGCAAGAGCGTTTTGTGTGAACCGCTATTAGGGAGTTCACTGGCGGAAGGAGGTCCGTCCTCTTGGTGTCTCTGCAGTGATAAACCCTAACGAAAGAACATGAAAACAAGCCCCTGGATTTCTGGGTGATTTCCCACAAAGGCATTCGCAAACGGCAGCTGGGAAGGTCCGGACAAAGTTTTACTTTTGTGAATGAAATGGAAAAGACAAAACGCTGAGTCCCCTGAGTGGGGAGGGAACACAGCAGCAGGTATGGCAGAAGCAACTTCCTCTAGTGCATTTCCTGCTTGAATTGCGACGCTGTTTCTTCCCTGAATCATTCTCAATCCTGCCTCCTCCTTCCTCCTTCCTCTGCCAGTGCTTGCTGTGCGATTCCGACCTTCCTGTCTTGGGTGTGGAGAGATGTGCTAGTCTCATCCAATCTGTGTTCTGTGTGTTCTGAGTTGTCCTTGGTTAGTCTCGTGAGTCCTAAATACCTTTGAATTGTCTGCAGATCCAGAGGCTCAAGCCATCCCCTTCTTGCTTCTCTGGTCCCTGCCTCTCTGATGCCTCCCTCTTGTCCCTGTGGCCCCAGGGTTCTCTGAGCTTACTGCAAAGGGTCTCTTGGCTGAGTGTCTCGTCTTTGGACAGTGTCTTGTGGCCTATGCTGTCCCACGCAGGTTGCTGACCCTTGGCTCTCAGCTCCAGCACTCCTTTGTGCAAATGCACCTCAGGGTGGTCTGCACAGCTGAACTCCAGAGCACCGATTTCATTTTCGTAGGAACTCAGCCCGTGGAGCTCCACCACATTGTGCCTGGTAGATATTTTTTTTTTCCTCCTTGAGTAGTTGGATGTGGTTGCTACTGAGGTGAGCTCAGGCGGCTGTCTACCGGGCTTCAACACTTAGCACTATCTCTGTTAGGTGGGTGACTGTAGAAAAATTATGCAAACACTCTCTATTTAACCTGCCTTTTCTGTAGAATGGGAAGAATAAATTGCCCATTTCAATGCATGAGAGATATTACTGCCACACATTTATTGGTAGCAAAATCCTCTGGAGCAAGTTCCTGCCCTCAATGTTTCACATAACCTTTCCAAACCGGCGACAATTGTTGCTTAATTTGACCTTTAGAGCTCGCCTTGGAGCATCTTTACACATGCTCTGCCTCCAGCCCTTGCTTAATTCTTCTGGAATTTTAGCATGTACATGTGAGTGTTTGCATCAACCCATCAGGTGAGCTGCATTTGTCTCCTGGAGCTACCCTAACCTCTGCTCTAGCAGCTTTGCTCTGCCTGCATTGGCAAGATACGGATTGTGGTGCTCAGATGACAGCTGGACTGAACTGTGCGAAGGTATTGTTGCAGGCGAATTGCTGGGCTAGCTTTACAGGGAAGTAACACAATCTGAAATCTCCACTCATGAGATGCTCCAACAAGCTTTAGATGGGGGATCCAGTTAGTCATGTAATTTCTATGGAGCAATTGCCATCTACTTCTGGGTGCAAAAAACTAAGCTATGATTATTAAAGCATTTGCTTTAATAGTGGAAAACCATCAAAAAACCAAGGAAGGAAAAAATGTTAAGACTACATTTAGCATTTAGAGCCTGCAAGTTGGAACATGATCTGGGTATCTCTGGCAACTGGAATCACGCACAAGTGAGATTTAAAGTAACATCTGTACACCTGATTCTTTCATTGAGAGAGTGGGGAAGACAACAGTACTTTTTCTGGCTTTCCACTTACCTCTGCAAAGACGAAGGGGGCATCAAACTGGAAGCAGACATGGCCGTGCTTGATGGCTTGAACGGAAGCTGGGCCACAGCGATACATGCCTGCACACACAGAGGAAGGGGGACGTGAGCTTTGTCATCTCCACTTTGTCCGGGTGCTGACAGTGATGGCGAACTTGATTGTTCAGCCCAAATGTTCTCCATGGGTGGGGCTAGATACCAACAAGGAGCATGGGCAAGTGTGTCCTTGTTGGAAACACCTCTTCCATGTAACATTCAGAACCAGGAAAAGAGCAAGGGGTAGCACTGTGCGTCTCTTCCACCAGCCACAAACCGGTATCCCAGTGTGTCTGTGTGAGCTGCTGTCCTTTGCTGTCCCTTGTCCTTTGCTGTCCCTTCTCCAATGGGGATCAGAACTGTTGGGCATTTTCATGTGTCCTGGGAGGTTGTATTATTGTTTGGATTTTTGTGCTTTGTTTCTGGACTTGTCGGACCTATGTCAAGTTAAACTGGAGAATTTGGACGTTGACCACAGATTGGCCAGCACCCAAAATGCTTTCAGCAAGTTGGTTTGCTCACGTTGACATTTTCTTGTAAAATTTTTGGAAATCTAACCACGTGTCCATAGATCAAAAGCGATTAGTTGCCTAAGACTTTCGCCAAAATGTCAGAAAGCATTAAAATCCAGTACATTATAACTCCCACTAAGAATATGTGCTGAACATTAGCGTATTTAGGTGTGTGTGTGTGTGTCAACACGCTTTGGTTACACACGAGGATATAATGTCCCTAGTTCAGTGAATTTTTAAGGTCATGATACGCAAAGAAATGGAGATTCTGTCACTATGCGGTAGAGCAGGTGTAGGAAACTAGAAGTCCAGTACTCACCCCCTTACGTTTTGAGAGAAAAAACACATCATAAAGCTAACTGAAGTTCTGGAGAAAGCAATTTGAGGGCTAATCTGTAATTAGTTTTCGAGTTCTCCGTTTTCTCTATGGGCTCATCGCTGTGCATCAGGAAGCATCAGGGATATTTTATAGTCTAGTAAAAATGCTTACACGGATTTTTTCCCCTCCCATCTTCAAAACTGCTTATCAAAGCAAGAGGGGACAAATTACATACATACAGCTTGATATTCTTTTTTGAAACGTTGTAAAGCAATCAGCATAAAACTGCTGCATTGAGAGAGAAAGCTGTCTGACAGGGAAGGGATTCTGTGTGCGGAGCCACAGCACACACGTGTGTGCTCATGTTTCCCACACACCGAATGCACATGCGAATGTGAAAAGGTAATGAGCAGGGATACGGTTTTCCCACGGATTGGGAATTTTACCATCACTGTTTTCCTGGGGAGTGCTGTCCACAGCCTGCCAGCCTCCAAAGCCGACGGGGAGGTCCGGCCTCGTCATCCACGCTTCGTTCCAGCAGTGGTAATTCCTTAGGAAACATAAGCCCAGATGTATTAAACTTTCTAGCATCTTCAATGCTCCAAGAAATCAACAAGGTGCATGCACACACCCTCATTCTATGTGTATAGCATCTTCAGATTTTGGGGGTGGATTAAGCTCAATTTGAGGGTTCCCAGAGATATCCTGGGAATATGGACTAAAGTCTGCTGGGTAAATCCATTCCTGCTGACACTCCTAGGGGTCTCACATGATTGGATGTTGTGCTTGCTTCACTAAAATCAGTTTAAAAGCTACTCAGAGGTACATAGTCATTGCACTGAACAGTTTTGAGTTTAAACTTTCTTTTCCTTGAAATTTATTTCATTTATTTGAAAGGCAGAGTTGTAGAGACAATGAATGAGAAATAGAGAGATCTTCCTTCTGTTAGCCTGCCCCACCAAATGGATAAAGCAGTTGCAATCAGGCTAGGGTAAGGCCAGGAGCCAGAGCTTCACCCAGGTCTCCTGGCCCAAAGGCTTGGACCATCCTTTGCTGCTGTCCCACGCACAATAGCAGGGGACTGGCTAGGAGGCAGAGCAGCCAGGAACTGACCTGGCGTTCATATGGGAGGCTGCCACCACAGACCAGGTTCAATCTTTATGCCACAGCACTGGCCCTGTCAATCACCCTTTTCTGCTAACTAGAACTAGTCATGTGCTCAAGGAACATGGGGAAACTTTCACTGAAACAAAAATGTTTAACTTTGATTTCTTTTATGTGGTTTTGATTTTTTAAAAAGCACGTTATTCTGGAACAAGTGAGCAATACTTGAAGAAGTTCATGGAAATAGAATGAAAGGGTAAGAGTGTTTTGGTGCAGGCATCAGCTTTGTGGTACAGAGGGTTAAGTTGCTCTTTGTAACACTGGCATCCCACTTGGGTGTTGTGTAGGGTCCTGACCTGCTAATGCATCTGGGAAAGCAGTGGGAAATGGCTTGAGTGCCTGCACCCCTGCACCCACGTGGGAGACATGGGCCAAGTTCTAGGTTACCAGCTTTGCCTTACCCAATCTTCACAGTCATCTGAGGAGGGAGCAAGTGGAGAGGAGAGATTCACCCCCTCACTCTATAACTCTGCCTTTCAAAGAAAGAAAGCTCAGAAAGGATTCTTTTGGTACAAGAGTACTTTGAAATCCAAGCATACCCATGGTCTTCAGAATATTTAAACTTTATATTAGGGCTGTGAATGACTTTCAAATGTTTTGGCACCAAAATAAATGGATATTTATTGATTTGAGAGGAAGAGAAAGGGAAATCGTCTATCCATATACGTACTGTCCAACTCCTGCTCCGGTGAGACCTGGGAACATTGTCTGGGTCTCCCCTGTGGGTTAGAAGAATCTAATTGCTTGAACCATCACCACTGCCTCCCAGGATCTGCCATCAGCAGGAAGGTAGTCAAGGGCTGAATTAGGGAACCGAATGCAGGAGTTGTAGGGGAGACACCAGGCCTAATCATTGGGCTAAATGTCTGTACCACCGCAATGGTCTGAGATGTGCTTGTGCACATTTGTTTTTACGGTTTTAGACCACTGCCGTGAAAGCCACAGGCTTGGTCCTGACTGTAATTCTCCACAATGCGGTGACTTTCTCTCTGGAGCTCAGCGAGGGGAATCGATGCCCAGGGCAAGTGTCTCCTTCCCCTTTATCAAACGTGGCCACCGAAGAGCTAAGGGCTGTGCGACGCTCATCAGGACCTGACCCTTGGAGCAAGAGCAGGGCGTAAAATGCCATGGTGAATTGTGCTATTACATTCTTGGAAAGACCTGACATTGTAGCGGTACAGAATCAAATGAGAGCGCTCACACTACAGAGCGTGTTCCCATAGCAGTGATGATTTAACGATGGGGTGAGGTGGTTATAGCAGCCCTTGTTTATAGCTTTGATTTCAGATCCAAGGACCAGCCACTCTTCTCCTCCAAGTCCTTTGGTGTCAGTAATTTCTGCCAATTCCTGTCTCTCTATCTGAACGCAGTTCAGCTCTGATGGGCTGAACTAAGAGATGTTGATTTAATTGCGCATGCACCGTGTACCAGCACCTTACAGTATTTATTCTTGCCAATAGAGCCTCTCGAGCTAGGAGGAGGGACAAGTACGTGAAACAGTTGTTAATGCATGGCTTTACGATGAGCTTTACATGAGATAATCCAGGTAAAGGATTTAAAAAGAAGCTTAAGTGAAAGAAACCAGACAGAGAAACAGCAATCACACATTCTTCCTCAGGAGCAGACGCTAAAAAGACTCAATCTGAACACGAAATGGTGATTACTAGAGACTGGCCTTTGAGTTGTGGGTAGGGTAGAGGACATTGGCCAGCAGCAACCAAGTCAGAGCCGGACTGAAGGTTAAGTTCCTGCTGTTACACAGTCCGGCGGGGTATGGCTGTGATGACACAGAACCAACAACTAGACCCAACACGTCCTTCGTGCCAGGCCCTGCTCCCCATCTCCAGATGTACATTAACACACCTGATATTCCCAGCATTCTATGAGCGCAGTACTCTTAGAACTACCAGCCCTTTACGAGAGAGAAAGCTGACGCAGAGAGAGATGGAGAAGCTAGTCTGGGCTCACACAGCCCTTTAGCAGTAAAGCTGCCACCAGCTCTGTCCCCAAGTATGAAAGCTACAGGAATGGTAGATCTTCCAATGCCAATTAAGGGTACTTTATTCTTGGGCACTAAGAACCCACGGAGGTAATTCAAGGAGGAGAGATAAATTGCAGGTTGGTATTGTGGCAGGTGGACGGAGACAAGACTGTAGATTGAATTGAGAATGTGCCTGGCCTCCACGCTCCTAACCCCTGCACAGCTGGCATGATGGATTGAAAATGTGGTCACTAAGGAGTGGTTGTTACTTTATCTTGCATGTCTGTGGGACAGCTGGAATGGCTTGGATGAGAAGGAAGAGGGTGTCCCTGGAGTCTCTATGGGTGCTGGGTGAGATGACCTAAGATGCAGGTAGGGAGGGATTGGTGTTATAACTCAGACGGTTAAGCTAATGACTGTGACACCAGCATCCCAGGTCTGGGTGCTGTTTGAGTCTCATATGTCCCACTTTTGATTCAACTCCCTGTTAACGAGTCTGGGAAGATAGCGGGTGAGGGCCCTGCCATGCATCTGGGAAACCCAGAAGGAGTTCCTGGTCCCCAGCTCCAGCTTGGCCCCACTCCGGCTGCAGCACCTGCCTTGCGAGTGAAACAGCAGATGGGAGATTCTTTCTCTCTGTTCCTGTTGCTTGGCCTTACAAACAAACAAATATGAAAATAAAAGTCAGTTGGAAAGTAACCAAGAAAGGAAGAGGCAGATGTAGCTTTTGCTGAAAGTGTCAACCAGGTTGTGAAGGTGGCAACTACAAGGCAGGGCAATGCCAGGAAGGATGCTTAGTAAGTTTCAGTAGGAAAGGCCAGAGCTTGCTCCTGGACCACAGAGTGATGGAGCAGAAGAGGGAACTGAAGCTGTTGGGGTGCTGGAGGGGGGTGAGTTATCTAGGGTTCTGGAGGATCAGCTTCTCAGAGAGAGGTGGGGAGCAGGGTCTGTGGGGGCAGGAGGGGTCTGCAGAGGGAGGTGAAGAGGTGGTGGTCTCTAAGCCGGAGCAGGGGCTCTGTCCTCACCGGCCTTGCCCCAGGCCTGAAGGAGGAGCACTGTGTGATCTAAAGGCGCTCTGCCAGCCTCCCTTGACCAGCAAGGGCTGTCCCATCCCGCAATCCCAGATGGACATCCCCCCACTTCCCTTAAAAGGTGTGCTTGGCAGCCCCGGCTGGCACTGCTGTTCCCTGATGTAGACCAGCAGGCTGCCATCCTCTTTTAAATTCAAATCTCCTTGGCAAGGTCAGCCTGCAACAAGATAAATAAGCTTTGCAGTTCGGATCTCAGGTGAAGACTTGTCTTTGAAGATCATATTTCTTTCCAAATGGCCAGGGTAGGAAAAGGTTTCTTTTCTCCCCGGATGACACCTAATTAGTTACAGGAGAGCCTGCTTCCACCTCACCTCCCACTGAGAAGCCGATCCTTTTTTTTTTTTTTTTTTTGGTGGGGGTCCGGGCTGTTGGGCAAGTGGTGGGAGCTTCAGAAGAGAGTCAGGGAAATGCTAGCAACAGCCCGGGTGGGGCTGGGCAGTGGCTGGACTCCCAGACAGGATGCGCACAGAGGCAGAGGAGGCCACGCCCACAACTTGCTGGGGGGGTCCCGTCCTGTGGGACTCCACCTGCACTGAAACTGCCATCCACGCTGACTTCCTGGGGCCGTGAGTGCTCAAAGATCACATCCCAAGGCCCACCTACGAAAGGGACCGTTACACAACACACAGACGTTTCTGTTTTAAATTTTGTACCTTTATGTAGCCTATAGAGAAGTTCAGTGGAAAGACGAGCATTGGTCTTTGCCCAGCTTTTAAAACAATGCAGTAACAAAGCGGTGGGAAGACAGAGACGTGGAGTTGACTCATTTGCTGGCTTACTCCTCAAACACTTGCAGTGACTGGGCTGGGCAAGCCCAGGACAGGAGTCAGGACTTTATTCAGGTCTCTCATGTGAACGGCAGAAACTGCATGCTACCTTCCATGCGCATTAGCAGAACGCTGGATTGAAAACTCAAAGGCAGGGTGCCGACGCCACGTGCAGCAGGCTAAAATCCCACACGGGCTCCAGCTTGTGTCCTGGCTGCACCACTTCCGCTCCAGCACTCTGCTTATGGCTTGGGAAGGCAGCAGAGGACGGCTCATATCCTCGGGCCCCAGGACCCATGTGGGAGACACTGAGGAAGCCCTGGTTCCTGGCTTCAGATGAACTCATCCCAATGTTGCAGTCATTTGGGAAGTGAGCCAGCAGATGGAAGACTCTCTTTGTTTCTCTTTTTTGTGCAATTCTATCTTTCATGTAAAAATAAATGTGTTTTTAAATATAGAGTCAGAGGCAGATTTCAGCCTGGTTTCTCTAAATATGGGATGTGGGATCCTCAGTGGCAGCTTCCCCCTTACGCTGAACACCCATGTA